GTGGGCAGAGCCCGGCCGCGAGATGGGGCCTGCACAGACCGTCTGTGCTGCCTCCCGCCACGGAGGCGGGGGAGCTGAGGCCCAGCGAGGCGGCCGGGGCGGTCAGCACCCTCCCCCGGGCCCTGCCCTGGGTGCCACCTGCAGGCGGCTCCCACTCGGCCTCCATGTGCCCTCCCGCCAGCCGGGAGACTGCGGGCCGGCCGCCCAGGCGTGGCTTCGCTAAGCAGGGAAACTGAGGCCAGGGGTGAGAAGGAGGCTCAGCTCCCAGGCCTGCAAGTCCCGCCTGGTGCTGACGCTCTGTCCTTTCCGGCAGCCACCGAGCCCAGTTGTGAGCGCGGGCGGCGCGGGCCACGGGCAGGGAGCGGGGTGTGTGGCGGGGCTGATGTTGCAGCGCCCAGCAGGCCCCCACTCGTGGGAGGGGCCTTGTTTGTGGAACGAAGCAGTGGGGACCAGGCCTGGCCCCCCATCTGCCTCCACCCTCCCACTGTGGCCACCCTGCCCTGGCAGCCTGAGGGGGGCCGCGGAGGGGGTTCCCAGGCGGGGGAGCTCTGGTACCTGGGTGGGGAGCCAGCTACAGCCCCCCAGGCCCAGCACCTCGGGCTGTGTGGCAGCCAGGCCTGTCTGCAGACGGTCACTGTGTGCAGAGGGTCCTGGGCGTGGCCAAGGTCACAAGTGTGGAGCGGGTCATGGGCATGGCGAGGGTCACTGGCAGCGCTAGGGTCGTGGTCAGGCTAGGGTCTTGCTGGGGGGCAGGTCGCCCCGGAGCTGGGGGCCATGGGGGGAAGAGCAGCAGTGAGAGTGGGGGGTCCATAGGGCATCCTGGCAGGGGTGGGCCTGTCAATGTCCCCGAAAGGGGCGCTGTCCCCGGGGCACGTGCAGGTGCCCAGCGGCTCCCAGCCCCGGCCGCCTCCGCCCGCCCTAGTGGCTGCCATGACCAGGGGCCAGAGGTGCAGTCAGGGCTGGGTGTAGACAGGGCCTGCAGCCTTGCCCTGGGCACCTTGAGAGGACCCTCCCGGCCTGCAGCTCCCAGCCCGTCTGGGGCCTGGAGACGTGCAGAGGCTCGCAGGGCCCCTGACACCCCATCGGCTGTTTTTGTGGCCCTTGGAGGAGTAGTTCCAGAGCCTGCACCTGCCCGAAGGCCCATCTCCACCCGCAGCCTCAGCTCCCAGGCAGGCCCAGGGGCCAGAAGGGAGGCAGCCACTAAGGGCGTGAAGGCCTCATTCACAACATAAACAATGTTCAGTTCCAGCCACCAGCTCGTGATGTGAGGACTGAGTTGTCTGTAGACGTGTGTGTCCCCGTTACCCCCTCCTCCTCGCACACGGCGCGTCCCTCTGTGCCTGGTGAGGGGGCTGCCCATCTGACTCAGTAATTCATGGGCTCTGATCGGTGTCTGGCCGAGTTATTCATTATTTATCCTGAGAGCCTTCTTCAGAGTCCCAGGGGAGGTGTTCTGTTCCATTCCTGGAGGTAGGGGATGTGGGCCAAGGAGGCCATAGGAGAGGAGGATGCAGCAGAGCAGGGGCCTGGGCCCTCCGGCAGGGCTCACTCCAGATGCTGCAGTCTGCTGCTGGGGGGAGGGACTGCACACGTATACAACACTTCAATTTCCCATTCCCTGAGGGGGAAACTGAGGCCTAGAGCAGAGGAGGGACTTGCCCAAGGCCAAACAGCCTTTAACAGGCTGATGCTTTCATTGGTTGACTAGTTCTTTATCTGTTTCCCCCCACCCACACCCAGAAAGCCTCCCACAGCAAAGTCTTTTCTTATTTTTTCACTGTAGCTCTTTACATATTAGGGTTGTCAGGCTAAGGAAGCCTGAGGGGGTAGCCGGGTTCCATGGAGCATGGTCTCTTGGAATACCCTACCGGGGTCTCCTGTGCCAGAGCCAGGCCTTCCGTCATTTCTCCAAGGAGTAGCCTGGCTTGAGTGGTCAGAACAAGCACAGGGGGGCCTCTGGAGGGGCTGGAGGGAGCCTAGGCAGAGGCTGAGTGTGGGCCCCAGGCACAGTCCTCTACTTCCTGCACCTGGAATCTGTGCAGGCCTCCAGGGTGATGGATGGCCCTGGGGTCGGGAGACGGAGCGGCCATGCCTTTCCCTCTGTGGCCTGTCCCTGGCTTTCTACTGAGGACATTCTGCTTGGTGGATGTTGGCCTCGGCTTGCTGCCCTGAGCCACAGACCCCCTTGCCGTCCAGGTGGGCCCGTTTGCTGAAGGCAACTCATTCTGATGGTCAGCTGAGTGTTTCCAGTGACCAGTGTGACCAGGGGCCCACGCTGGCAGGAGCCCCACATCAGGAGGCAGGAGCTATCTGGCCACAGGGATCTCTTATAGCTTGAGGGCCTCCCTACTTGGGAAGAGCATGGGGCAGGAATGTGGGGGCCACAGACTAAGGTTGGATCTGATGGGGCAGACAGCAACGTCCCCACCTGAGTTGTGGCCTCCTTCCTGGCCTGGCCAGGGCTTCCCAGCTCTCCTGCAGCCATGTCTCCCATCCCTGAGCCCCCAGAATTCAGCCAAGGCCCAGGGCCCTACAAGGCCTGCTGCAGGGAAGGGCGGGATGCAGGACTGGGTGGGGTCCCCACCCATGGTGGGCAAAGCTGTGCTGTGCATACCCATGGCCCCGGAGTCTAAGTAGGGATCCTGCTGCCTCCTGGTACCTTCAGCCAAGAATGTTATCTGGTCAGTTTGCTGTTTGCCAGGAACTGGGCTTTGTCTTATTAAATTATCCCTAAAGCTTGTGAGGAGTTTACTTTGCTCATCCCATTTTATTGATGTGAAAATGGAGGCTCAGAGAGGTTAATGAACCTGTCCAAGGTCACATAGCAAAGTGGTAGAGATGAGACACAGCTCAGATCTGTTGGATGCTGAAGCCTGCGCCCTGAACTCCTGTGGTTCTAGCTTCTAAGGCGTTCTCTTTAGAAAAACAGATTTCTTATATTATGACTTCTTATGTTTGCATTATATGATGCTTGTAATAATATTTTATTCCTATGTTTATTTTATTATTGCTGGTTAACTTACTTAAAAGCAGTATCTGTTCCTTGTAGGGAGTTTAGAAACTACAGACCAGCAAGGACAGAAACAGTAAAACACAGCCCAGGGCCCCACCACTCACAGATGACCTTATTCACGTTTGGGCTGCGTGCTTCTGGCACCCACCGTGGGGTAGGTCCCCAGCCCGACTTCTTTCCAAGTCTCGTGTCACCTTGGCCCTGGAGCCTGGCCAGTTTTTCTGGAGAGGCTGTCTGGCCAAGAGTGGTTCCCCGGGGCCCCAGCAGCCCCAAGCACCTCTCAGCCGAGGGCCAGGCAGGACAGGCCGGGAGCAGCTCCGTTTCTCACCCTTGGCTCTTGTGTCTCTCGTTTCAGGAAATTAAAATGCATGACAGATAGCGAGTCCGTCCCGCCCGACTGGCCCTATTACCTAGCCATTGATAGGATTCTGGCCAAGGTCCCCGAGTCCTGTGATGGCAAACTCCCGGACGGCCAGCAGCCGGGGCCCTCCACGTCCCAGACCGAGGCGTCCCTGTCGCCGTCTGCTAAGTCCACCCCTCTGTACTTACCGTATAACCAGTGCTCCTACGAAGGCCGCTTCCAGGACGATGGCTCCGACAGCTCCTCCAGCTTACTGTCCCTTAAGTTCAGGTGTGTCTTCCTTCCCTGCCCCCACCTCCAGCAGGGGCCAGGAGCCCAGCGGCCAGAGGAGGGGCTGGGAGCGGTGAGGGCCGGCAGCTCTCGGGGCGGTGGCATCCTCTGCCGTCCCTGGCTGGCTGCAAAGGCCTAGGTGGTATGCAAGGGCCTCCAGGGACAGGGAGGCCTCGGACGGGGAGGCCTCAGACCAGGCTGGCCTCGGACGGGGAGGCCTCAGACGGGGAGGCCTCAAACAGGGAGGGCTCAGACCAGGCTGGCCTCAGATGAGGAGGCCTCAGATCAGACCAGGCTGGCCTCAGACGGGGAGGAATCAAACAGGGAGGCCTCAGATCAGGCTGGCCTCAGACAGGGAGGCCTCAGACTAGGCTGGCCTCGGACGGGGAGGCCTCAGATGGGGAGGCCTCCAACAGGGAGGCCTCAGACTAGGCTGGCCTCAAACAGGGAGGCCTCAGACCATGCTGGCCTCGGACGGGGAGGCCTCAGACTAGGCTGGCCTTGGACGGGGAGGCCTCAAACAGGGAGGCCTCAAACGGGGAGGCCTCAGACCAGGCTGGCCTCAGATGAGGAGGCCTCAGATCAGACCAGGCTGGCCTCAGACGGGGAGGCCTCAAACAGGGAGGCCTCAGA